ATTGGTGGAAAAAGCAAGATGAGAATTTTAAGGTGAGGGATTCAATGAATCTTGGGGTGTAAACTGTTGAAACATTTTTTGATCGTTTGGAAAGCATCTGTAATGAACAGTAAATTTATTTGTCTGGATAGAAGTCCTCCAGAATAGTAACATTAAGCCAGTGAAGACAATGGAATAGTAAAATCATGTTAATATAGACCATATGCTGAGTGGGATACATGTCTCAGTCCTCAGTATAATATGTGTATGTATATTATTTAATATGTAATATACATATTTTTTACTTTTTAAAGTTTATTCATTTTGAGACAGAGAGAGAGAGTGAGAGAGAGAGAGCATGAGTGAGGGAGAAGCAGAGAGGGAGACAGAATCCGAAGCAGGCTCCAGGCTCTGAGCTGCCAGCACAGAGCCCGACATGGGGCTCGAACTCATGAACTGTGAGATCATGACCTGAGCCGAAGTCGGACGCTTAACCAACTGAGCCACTCAGGCACCCCAATATGTAATATATTTTATCAACTACTATATTACATAGCTCCAGGGAGCATCATTCACATTAGTCTTATAAATAATATTCCTGAATTATATTCAGGAATGGGGCTATATCAATAGCCCCATTATGTGCATAGTACATATTGTAACATATTTAAGGTAGAGTGTAATATATTGTATATTATAATATATATAATATACTGTAATATATTGTATATGCTATATACAGTATGCATTGTATATAGTATATATTTATGATAAAAGGTAAAAAAGCACTAGAATCCTTTGACAATTTATAAAGGTATCACTCCGTGCTTTCTGATTTTGTTTTTCTTTAAAGCAGAATTTGTCAGATAAGAACTGACTCAAGGAAGTCGAGAGACATTTGTGAGGTCTCAACACCTAGGAAAATACGTGACCTATACTAGGTCATCAAAAAACATAACATGCTAAATAAAATTGCACTTACTTCTCAATTTACCTAACATCTATTAACATATTTTTCATTATAGGGTGATGATCAAGTTAGCTTAAATATATATATAATATATATTATGTCATGTCATGTCATGTCATATCATATCATATATATATGTATAATCCCATCTTGGGGGTCTTGAGATGTCATTGAAGCCCACCCCAACCCCCACCCCCACCCCGGGGTAACTAATGCTAGGACACTACTCCCTGAGCAGTAATGAGGGCTGTCGGTTTGTCTCACCACACAGACCTAAGGGTGTCCTGAAGGAGTAAGTTCCTTCGAATGCAGGAAGAAAGGAGCACTTCCAAACTCTCTGGAAAAGGAGCAGTCTATCCTGATTCAGGAAGGGAAGTAGACTTGAACCATTTGACTACAGGAGAAGATAAGATGGCCCACAGGCATGAGACAAAGTTAAACAGGTTATCAGCTACAGGACAGGATCATGGAGGGCCAAATGAGTCATCTTAAAGAGTAGATGATCCAGGGAAAAGCCATTGAAGGGTTTTAAGCTGAAGATAAATTTAGGTGAGATTTATCTTTTAGTAAGTCCCTCTGCCTGAGGTAAGGAGCAGTCCAGGTAGGAGAGGATAATCCATATTTGTTTAGGTTCCATTTGACACACCCTCTGGTGCTGCTCACCCAGAAGTGGTGTGAAGCAAAACAAACCTGACTCCATAGTGTGGAACACCAAGAAAATGACATTGTACTGAATGTCATGGGTAGGTGGAAGGGAGACTAGCCTTACAGAGCAAGCAGCACGTCACTCCAGAAATCTGCAGTCACCAACTCTTCTATTTTTTCCTACATTCCCAGCTGATTCCCTGTCTGTCCTAGATCCTTCCCCACCTTCTGATTGCATTTCTAAGTCAGCAGAACAAAACCTAGGAGCTCAATATCTGTGACTAAGGAGTTTGTCCCCAGAAATGGGAAATGATCCCAATTTAACCCACCAAAGCAAGATGAATGAAAGCAACTGCAGTAGCGGGGGGCGGGGGGGGGGGGGGCACAGGCAAATGTTTTGCAGACAAAACTAGCAGGTTTCAGTAACTAACTCTGTCAAAGAGAGAAGTCTACACTGATTTGCTTTCCCAAAGGCCACTGATCTAGATCATGCTTTTATTATTGGGGGGGAAGTGGGATCTTTAGATTTTATTGAAATCACCAAACTGTAGTCTCCCATTTCCTCGTTTCTGTCCAAATGTATAAAGTGGATCAGAGCAAATACAGTCGTGTCTCTCTCCAGGTTACTGGACTTAAACAGTTCCCATTTTTCTCCAGGTAGAGTCCAAACTCTTTCACAAGGTCTACTAAGATCATGATACAGTCCATGTTTGCCCAGGGACTTATCTTCCACCTCTCCCTCCAATGGGAGCACTAACTGTACTTTAGGATTAAGGAATGAGCTATGACTTCAGGAGTGCCTGGGTGGCTCAGTTGGTTAAGCATCCCACTGCTGACTTTGGCTCAGGTCATGATCTCACAGTCATGAGATCGAGCCCCAAGTTGGGTTCCTTACTGACAGTACAAAGCCTAATTGGGATTCTCTCTCCTCCCTCCACCCCTTCCCAAACGCTCTTTCTCTCCCTCTCTCAAAATAAATAAACTTTAAATTTTTTAAATGTTTTTATTTATTTCTGGGACAGAGAGAGGCAGCGTGAACAGGGGAGAGTCAGAGAGAGAGGGAGACAAAGAATCCGAAGCAGGCTCCAGGCTCCGAGCTAGCTGTGAGCACAGTGCCCAACGCGGGGCTCAAACCCACAAACTATGAGATCATGACCTGAGCCAAAGTCGATGTTTAACCGACTGAGCCACCCAGGCACCCCTCAAAATAAATAAGCTTTAAAAAGAAAAAAATAAATACATACATAAAAAGAAAAAAGGGAATGAGTTGTGATTTCGGAAGTACACTATCCTTTCTCATTCATCTCTTGTGTAACACAAACTACTCACCTACTCCTGGCTCTTCTAGATTCAGGTCAAGCAACATTTACTCCAAACACTTTTGACACCCACTCCCAATGCTGCTGGTTACTCCTGTCTAGGCTGATTGAAATGATTCTCATCTGGATTACTTTGCGTACCTGTAATTATATAAACCCTCCTCCTTCTTAATTACCCCCTTTGCCACTAGACTGCAAGTGCATCGAGGACAAGGACCATATCTTCTCCATTTCAATACTTGGAATCTAGCTTGGCTTACAGAAACTATTTGTTGAATGAATAAATAAAAGTGGTGGAACCAAGACACAGATCTAAAACCTTTACCTTAAATGTAGTGCTTTTCTCAATATATCATAGCAGGTATGGATGACATATTGTGGTAGAGGGCTAAATACTTCAGATGACAGATTTCCTAATCTAGCACAGTGGAAACAAATTGGTGATATGATCATAAAATGGGTAGGTGAACATGGACATTAAGAGACCATACTATGTAAGCCTACAATGATACTCAAAGAGTTGGCTACAGTAATCCAAGACATCTAAAAGTTTTAGTCCTAAAGTTAGCAAGAAGATCCAGTGTCCTTTGTTTTGGATTACTGAATTACAAACATACTTGAGAATATTCTGAAGATATATATTGTTTGTAACCACATTTAAATCATATCCATCAATAAGTATTATTAATTATTTGGAAGTTAATCCAATTTTTTAAAACTATAGTTTATTATTTTCTTTCTCTTCCTTGCTATCAATGAGAGAGCACAGAAAACAAAAAGGGTAAAATGCAAATCTGTCAGTGTGGTTGTCTATTTCTTTTTTATGTTCAACAGAAAAAAGGTTCCTTTGGGAAAGAAACTGAAAATTGGTAACCAACAATGGACTTTCATAAATATTTTTATAAATTACCTTTGTTGTCTGATTCGTTTTTTTAATACGGGATGCAAGTGAGCAAGGGGGCAGGGGAAGAGAGAGAGAGAAGGGGAATTCTATGAGGTGCAGAGAGAGAGAGAGAGAGAGAGAGAAGTGGTGCTCACCCAAAGTGGGGCTCATGTTCACCTCATGCAGGCCTCATGCTCACCAAAAGCAGGGCTTATGCTCCCAAAAAGTGGGGCTGGAGCTCACCCAATGCTGGTCTCATGCTCACCTGAAGTGGGACTTGAGCTCATCTGATGTAGGCTGGAACTCATCTGATGCTGGACTCGAATTCACAAACCGTTAGATCATGACCTGAGCTAAGGTCAGATGCTTAACCAACTGAGCCACCCAGGCGCCCTGTGTCTGATTCTGTTGAAAAGAATTACCATTGAACTGCTTTTAAGTAGCAATAATCCAGCCTATACAGACTTTGTAAAGAAATCTAACCAAGAGTATCTTCTTTCCTATTACAAACAAAGGTAAAACCAATAAGCCAAGGAAACTGTAGCAATGTATTTATTGGAAATGAACTAGACATTACATTAATCAGATGAAGATGTAACAATACATAAAGAATAACTGGTGCAACATTTAAAAAAATCACAAAGAAAAAGAAAATTCGTTTTCAGAAGAAATACTGTATCCAAGACACCTTAATCTCCGATACGAACACCATAATACAACCATAATGCTCACTCTGAATACCCAGAATAAAATTTACTTTGAACTGAAAGGAAAAGTTTCTTTCCCCAAATTAAAGATTCTTTGGCTACCACATGTATATAACATACATAAGATAATTTTCATCACCAGACAGTAACTAGATGATATTTGTCATATTCCTTCCTCATAGAAAAAACCTCTCCTACAAATAGAGAAATTTGGGGGAATCCAAGAAACAAATCAGCTGATAACCCCAACTTAAGAGGGTACCTGGAATCAACATTTCCTAAAAGAAGAAATTACATTAACTTTCCTAATAAGACTTTATTTTCCTGGATTAGAGGGCATGCTGATTTGTAACAAGAATCATTACATCTATACTGAGTAATGGTGTAAAGGTGGGGGGGAGGGGGCTGGATGTTTATCATCTGCTCTTCAAGGTTTTCCCAAACCTTGAAAGCTTTGCTCCTTCTTCTACTCTATAATATACTGTAGCTTGTGTATAAAAAAAAAAAAAAAAAAACTCCCTCTGAAGAAAATTATCCTAGATAATCCATCTGTGACAAGTACTGCAAAAAGCAGTGATGATAAATATTGTTTGGAGAGGCAAAAATGCTGCATCAACTTTCAGAGGCACTATCATAGACTCATCTCAAATGGAGAACTGCATGTTTGCTCTGAAAATTACTTTCCTTCCATATACCCAACATGCATGAATGTCCTCTACTAAGCTGTAGCCTGAGGAAACTGGGAGTTCAAATGCAGAATTGTAGATCTTAGAAAGGCCCAGTGCCACTTTTCACTTCTCTCCAGTGGATTTCAACAGTTAATTCTCAAACATTTCACAATTCCCACAAAATTTCACATTCAAGGGAAAGATGATCGAGACTTATTGGATTCTGTCCATTGGCAACAATAAAAAAGTATGTCAATACAGCATATTATCTTTAGAAAACCAATCATAATTGCATTTCCCTATCTTCTGCTACAGGTAGAGAGAACTAAATTAGGAGTCCCCATTTGTGGGAAAATGACAAATCCTTGTCGCCAATGACGGCACCAAGTAAAAGGGACTGTCAGCAGTAATTTAAATTTAAAAAGTAGAAAGTTGAACTAGACAATTTAGGTCCTATATTAAATTTTGGAGGCCTGATATTTTTAATTTGAGTAACAATGCTGGTCTGATTTGCTAGAAAATTAGCAACATTCTCTTTCACCTTGAGCTGGGTGGGTAGGCTCCACTACAATGTCTTGATTTCTCCCTAACGCACGTCCAAAGTAATGAGTTGCCTGACTCACAACACATGTAGATACAACATGCTAGTTGGCACAAAGCTGGCAGGGAAGGAAGGCCCTCACCTTCCTAAAAAACCCATAAGAGCATGATTGGCAATCAGATATACATGATGTCAGTAGATTTTAAGACAGATACACACATAAAGTTACACAAATGTTTCTACCTCTCCACCACCCAGTGAAACATGCTGTTCTTTGGAGAAAAAAATACATTCATTTTTTTCAAGTATATTTCAATATACAAAGACACTCTAGCTTTGTTTCACTAAAAAGACAAAATGATTTCACATATGTCCGAGGGGGATTTCATTTCATCTTCCCTTTGGTGTGGATTTCATGAAGTTTTGATTTAAAAAAATTCACTAAATATACATCTACTCTTCTGATCTGAAAGCATGAAATCTTCGTGTCCATTTTATATTTATGTACATAGTCAACAACAACAGAAAAAAAACAGTCTACATATGTACAATGGCTTAGGATTGGCGTACTCTAGTAAGAGCGAGGTCCCCCAGCCAGGACATGGACGCGGTGGCCCCAGACTCCAGCGGCCTGTCAGTTCTTGTGCCCAGCACTGGGCCAGCAGCACACAAGCTCTTCCCTTCCTTGCCGTTCTAAGAGCACGTCCTGCTGAAAGGGCACTTCCTCACTTATGGCTTGTTTCCGGTCTTGGCTTTGTGGTTAGGGTTGCAGTTGAGGTCCCTCAGCAGAGAGTCACAATTGGTGAGGGCGTCAGTGGGCAGCATCTTCCGGATCTGCTCCACTGTCTTTTGATAAGCCATTTTCTCTTGTTCCAGAGTCCGGATTAAAGATTTCATTTTGGTCTCTCTGGTCAAAAGGTTTTCCAGATTGGATTCCAAGGTCTGGATTTTAGCATGGGCTAACTGTTTGGGGGAAAGGAAAAACAATGCAAATTCTTCCAGATCAAAAATCTGAAGACTCTGGTTCATCATCAGAACAGCATCCTGACCTTACAAGTATTAACCAATCATATCATATTTCTTAATGAATAAATTCGTAGGTAAAGCAAATACTTTGAAACCCTTGATGAAAAGGAGATTTTTTTCGGTTGCTCTAAGATTTAACTGTAGTACTGACAAAGTACATCTCATTTCACTGACTACACCAATATTAGTAGTATTAGTACTAATATTGCATTAGTAGATGCAATATTAAATCAGCATCCCATGGTGGTGAGGGCCTCACTGTGTTCCCCTGGAGTGAGTGGGATCTGGCAGAAGGGGAAACAGGAGATTCCTGATGCTGCCTGGACTTGCTCAAAGAGGCTTTCTACCCTCTGACTAGAAATACAGGGTTTCCTAAACACATACTTGGGATCCTATCCACTTCAATGGGTGTCAGGGGTTCCCACATAACTTGGGAACCAAGACATGATGATGATACTTAATTGTCAATGAAAAACTCTGTGGGGCACCTGGATGACTCAGTCGATGAGCATCCAACTTCAGCTCAGGTCATGATCTTGCAGTTCCTGAGTTCAATCCCCACGTTGGGCTCTGTACTGACAGCTCAGAGCCTGGAGCCTTCTTCGGATTCTGTGACTCCCTTTCTCTCTGCCCTTCTCCTGCTTGTGCTCTCTCTCTCTCTCAAAAAAATAAACATCAAAAAAAATTAAAAAATAAAAAAGTCTGTAAGCATTAGTGAAAGTCCTTATAGGGATGTCTGGATGGCTCAGCCATTTAAGCTTCTGACTCTTGATTTTGGCTCAAATCATGATTTCACTGTATGGGCTGGAGACCTGTGTCAGGCTCCAGGCTGACAGTGCAGAGCCTGCTTGGGATTCTGTCTCTCCCTCTCTCCCCCTCTCCCACTTGCACACACATGCACTCTCTCTCAAAGTAAAGTTTTTTGTAAAGTCATTATAAAATATGTCCAAACCCCTTTCCCTAATAAGGAAGTGCTCAATTAATCACCAATGAAGCATAAAGTAATAATATTTTCTTTTTTAAAGTACACAATGTTGGCTCTTTGTTTGAATAGGCATACAATTTTATATAGACTGAGGCTAATTAATGGAAGATGAAGGGAACAAAGTCAGTGTTCCTATTTTGGAGCAATTACTCTAGAGACTCCTTATTTCTTCTTTTTTTTCTTTTTTTTTAATGTTAATTTTGAGAGAGAGAGAGAGAGAGAGAGAGAGAGAGAGAGAGAGAGAACAAGAAGGGGAGGAGCAAGAAGAGAGAGGGAGACAGAGAATCTGAAGCAAGCTCCAGGCTCTGAGCTATGAGCACAGAGCCGAACACAGGGCTCGAACTAATGAACTGGGAGATTAAGACCTGAGCTGAAGTTGGATGCTTAACTAACTGTGCCACCCAGGAGCCCCAAGAGATCCATCATTTCTAAGCCTTTCTCTTCTAGTCATTCTTGTCAGGGGACTCACCATATAGAAACAGAGTTTTAGTGTTCTATAGTTTGGGGACAGGTATCATGTTGGCAAGTGGGGGGAGGGGGGTAAACAGAAACCAAGGAACCATGAAATGCTCAAGCCCCAACTCAGAACACATTTCCCCCACCCCCCAGAAGGTTCTCTTTCTAGCCTCCCCTCCACTGATCACTCTCAAGCCCTACCCCACGGGGCTTGGATATACAGCACATATCATACAAGTTACAGGTGTAGAATATTAGGTTATACTAACTTGCTTAATGCATTTATAAATATACATTTATAAATACATATATAGTATTTTATTCCCAAATAATTATAAAAACTCCTCAATGGCAGGGACTATGTGTTACATGTTTTCATTCAATTCTCTCAAAAATGCTTCCTTTTCTTTCCATTTCAGTGAGTTTTACGCTAGACAATTCCCACTGCAAATCATTTCTGCAAATGATTTCTAGCTGGTCTCCACAACTTCTCTCCCCATTCAAATCTGTCCTCATCAAGGTTTCCAGATTGATCTTTCAAAAGTACAGTTAAAAAACCTGAAAGATTTCCCTCAGCAGGATTAAAACCATGCTCCTCTGCTTGACACTGAAAGATATCTACAGTTCTGCCTCCAGCACACTCACCCCATCTCTCCCAAACTCCAACCTTAAACAGACCCCAAGATGACTCAGCTGCTCTGCCCTGTCTTCCGTATTCCTACCAACTCCCTTTCATTTATCCCACCAATCCCTCATGTCCAGCTCAAGCCCCAAGTCCTCCAGAGCTTTCCAAATTTCCCATATTCAACCCCTCGTCCCCTGAACTCAGCCAAATAATAGGGTATTTAACCCTATTCTGCCTAGAACTGTCACTTAATATTTTGTGAGTGTACAATTTCCCTCCCAAGTGATACTGAAGTTGATATGTGCATCTGTAGCTCCCAGAAACTTGTACACAGTCTGACACACAGACCCTCTGTCAGCAATGGTTTCCTCTATGTCACACCCCGTCACTCCTGGTATATTGTTCTGTGCATGGCGGACGCAGTCAAGTGCTTTTTTGATCAAATCTTTATCTCCTTACCTGCAGCTTTTCTAGGAGGTCCATGTTTTGTCTTTTCAGTTGGTTATTGGCCCTCTCCAGCTTTTCTATGGGTTCACTCTCCTCACAGGCATACGAGGATTCCTGAAGCTCATCCTGCAGCACATGGTATTCCACCTCATAGGCGTGTAACTGTTTAGAAATATCCATCTCAAAAACCTGCCATGAAAAGACAATGGGTTCATCTGCTTAGTATGGATACCAAAATACTGTCTGTCTATGTAGTGTTCTTCCCACAGATTTCCAAGTGCTTACTAATGAAGAATAATATGGCATATCAAAAGGAAGAACAGCAGACATGACTGTCTGTATAAGGACAAACGGATTATTTTTACGAATTATTTTTACACAATTGAAACATTCTCATAATGAGGCCAAGACGACAGTGTAAGTTGATGTTCAAAGGTATTTAGCAACCAAAATATGCCTAATCGTGTAACTCTCCAAAAATGTAGCATACCCAATATAACATTAGTTACTGGGTAATCCTTACATATGTTAGAGATAATCTTTGCTGATCCTTACCTACATTAGAGATAATCTATGCAAAATTGCACAGAGTATTTCTATAATAAAGAAACCAAAAACACTTCTAGTTATTTGTGAATGGGGCAGACAGTTCTTACACTAAATATCTTCATCCATTTGCAAATCCTTGTGGGCCTCTATGGAGTCTCATATTCTCACCACACAGAGAATCTTCTTAATTGCCTTCCCTGAGCGCTGCACAGAGCTGTAGGGTTTAATCAGGGCTGCCTCTGCTCTCCCATATCACCACCAAGCAGCAAGAAGGTTTGCTTAGAAGTCAGTGGACAGGTAATGCCTCCTCAGTCTAAAATTGCAATGGAAGGGGAGGCAGCAGCTGTCAACTAAGCAGTGGTGTCTACACTAACACTGTGGGAAGAAAAGAAACCACAACAAACCTGACTTACTTATCCTACCACAATCAGAGAACCTCAAATCTTAGAATTCAAATGGGCTGTCTAGACAACCTGGTCATCCCTCCCAAACAAGCATCACCTTTTCCCTACCTAGTGGGAAACCATGGAAACAAGGGACTGTTGCACAACCATTAAAAATGATAGCATGGATCTATTTATTGGCATGGAAAAAGAGAGGTTGTAACTTGGCCCATGTCACACAGCTAGTAGGCACAAGAACAAGATGTCAAACTCTCTTTCTCTTGCTCTAAACCCTTTTACTGGCTATCCCAAGTGCCTCTAGGAAAGTGGTAAACTTTATCAATACTCCTGAAGCATTACGGCTTTATCTACAAATCTGAAGCTTGGTCATGCCATCTGAGTAACATGAATCTATAACTACCACTTAACCCAGTCCCTGTGAAGAGCCAGGGACTAGCTAGATACATGGTGTGCTGATTACTCTCCATCTGCTTCCCAGGTCCGTTCTCTGCCCTCATCTATTCTGCCAGACCCAGGAGACAGACCACTGGGGCCTGTATCCCCCTTACACACTGCCTTTCCTGCCGGCTGCTGGTTGGGTATGGCCCAGGAGATCAGCCAGTAGGAAATACAGAAAGAGAACGAGAGGTTGTATTTCTTCCTTGTTCCTTTCTTGCCTGGCTCACCAAAAGCACAAAAAGCTCCAAAAAGTAATCCTGGATGTTCCAGCACCCCCTGGGCCTAGAAACACTATTAAATTCTTCTCCTGACCCCTCAGCACCAGTGTATCAACAGCTTCCCTCTGTCACTAGCTCCTGAGTACCTGGGCAGCCACATTTGGTTCTCTTAACCCTGCCCAAACCTCTGTATAAGTTGGTGGCTTTGTTTGAATCATTAAAGACAGACTGTTTCCTGCAAGGAACCCCAATCGACATGTGAAGTCTCACTTAAGCTTCGCAAAACCTCTCTCATCAGTATTGACCTATTTGAGAGGTAAGAATACTAGGGTTCAGAAAATGAAGGAGAAGTGTACAAGCCCACCAACTAATAAAAGAGCTAGAAGCCGACATACAACCTTATTAATTCCAAAGACTAGGCTCTTGCCACATGTACTCCTTATATATTCTAGGATTTTTTTTTTTTTTTTTTTTTTTTTTTGAGGAAGAAAGGGGGCGAGAGGCCAAGGGAGAGGGAGAGAAAGGATCCCAAGCAGGTCCCATACCCAGTGTGAAGCCCTCCATGGGGTTGGATCTCATGACTGTAAGATCATGACCTGAGCAAAAATCAAGAGTAGGATGCTCAACTGACTGAGCCACCCAGGCACCCCATGTACTCCTTATATATTTTCAAACAGAATTAATATCACAAAAGTAAGTGACTCTCATTTTTATTTTACTTGTTTGTTTGTTCATTTGTTTGTTTAGTCTTCCTAACTCTGTCAACTCTGTCTTCAGTCTCACCATTGGTCTAAATTGATATTCACCAAACACTTCTTACGTATAACAGTGAACTACTACTCCTGTGTGTAGCCACACAGACGATTTCACAAAGTATAAATTTCACAATCTCACTTCCAAATAAAATACATCTGATCAAATAAAAAAAACTATCAAGCAAATCTAAGTCTTTATACTAAAGCATTTAATATATATTTGGTATAGAAACTCCTGAATGATCTTATATCTTGCTTTTATCATTTTAATCATACCTGGGTAATAATTTTTTCCATTTCAGATGTATTCATATCAGGTAACATGGTTTTAAGAAACTCGACAATACTTTCGAAGTTCTCACATTCCATTATAAGTGTCTCCTGGCTGCTCAGCAGACTGAGCGCAACCTTAAATATAACTTCAGTTCCCTGAAGAAAAATAATATCTAAAAAAAAGAGACAATTTTCATGATCAAAATTATGCATCCACTATCGTAAAAGGTACACTCTTTGTGTTAATGGCTTTATGTGTTTCTTGTGGTTGTTTTTTATTAATGCAGTGGAATCATGGAATATTCTGTAAGAGAATAAAGTCAAAATCAGCTCTATTTTTAAAAACTAACGTGACTAAGACCAATAAACAGATGTGTAAGTATTCTTACTTCTTTAGGAATGTCAGATTAAGGCCAGAGTAAAAAGAAAAAGATTAATTATTTATCTGTTTGTCTATGTATTTATAATTTTTATTATTGATTGATTGATTTTTAAATGTTTATTTTTGAGAGAGAGAGAGAGAGACAGCGTGAGCAAGGGCAGGTCAGAGAGAGAGGGAGACACAGAATCTGAAGCAGGCTCCAGAGTAAAAAGAAAAAGATTAATTATTTATCTGTTTGTCTATGTATTTATAATTTTTATTATTGATTGATTGATTGATTTTTAAATATTTATTTTTGAGAGAGAGAGAGAGAGAGACAGCGTGAGCAGGGGCAGGTCAGAGAGAGAGGGAGACACAGAATCTGAAGCAGGCTCCAGGCTCTGAGCTGTCAGCACAGAACCCAACGCAGGACTTGAACCCACAAACTGTGAGATCACGACCTGAGCTGAAGTCAGATGCTTAACCAACTGAGCCACCCAGGGACCCCTACGTATTTATAATTTTTAGTGGCAAATGTAATGGAGACTAGGTAAACCTAAAGATACTTATTCAACTGATAGTTCCATTTTTCTTCCCAAGAGTAATACAAAAACAAATCAGCATAACCAATTAGTACTATTTAAACTCTCATTACCATAATAAAAAAGTAAATGAACCACTCATATACAATTAAACCTATATCAAGGCAGGAAATTAAAAACTTTAGAAGAAAAAAATCAAAAGTAATATATAACCTAAATCAGAAGTGAAAGAGGAAAAAAAATGAAAACCTACCCTAACTCTGAACTCTGGTTCCTAACAAATACAAACAGGTAATAGTTTTGAAAGTGCCAAATATTTCTATATGAAAGTTTCAATCTTTGCCACTCTGGAATCAGTAATATGTAATAAGCAAAGAAGTCCTTCAAAAACAGAGAAGTGTGACTTCTGCTCATGCGTCTTTCCCTTCCTGACTATCTCCATTCTTTACTAAATTCAAAGAAAAAGACAGAGCAGCTAGTGCTGAGCCGATGGCATCAGTCATGTTCTCAATGCAAAAAATAGACCTGGGAGATTTGTTTCTTGAACTCTGATATCACATTCCCAAGGGTAAGTCAAAGAGAGATGCTTTCAAACATTGTTTTATCATTCTGATTTGGTAAATTATCCTGAGAAGAAAAAAAATATATAGATCCTAAGAAAAATACATATATAATGAATTAAAGGATTTTAAAAGACCCAAAAATAGGAACCCAAATCCCACCCAAAAACTTAACTGGAGAGAAGCAATCAGGTATTTCAATAAAGAAGAGAAATTTGGGGGCGCCTGGGTGGCTTAGTAGGTTAAGCGTCCGACTTTCGCTTAGGTCATGATCTCGCGGTTTGTTGGTTTGAGCCCCGCGTCGGGCTCTGTGCTGACTGCCAGCTCAGAGCCTGGAGCCTGTTTCAGAGTCTGTGTCTCCCTCTCTCTCTGACCCTCCCCGCTCATGCTGTCTCTCTCTCTCTCTCACCTAGAAATAAATAAAAATATTTAAAAAAAAAAAAAAAAAGAGAAATTTGGTAAATATTTGATTCTGCACATCTTGATTCTGATTTTTTTGACAAAAAGCTCCAATTTAGCAAAGGCACGATTACAAATATCACTATGGATATGAGATAAGCAGAATGTAAAAACTGTTGGAGCCCTCTCTGGGGTCACAGAGGTCCTAAAAATCATTAAGAACAAGTCTCTAGTAAAAAGTTTTTTTTTTTTTTTTAATTTTTTTGCTTTTCAAATAATGGCCTTCAATAAACCTAACTAAAGACTTTTTAATAGATTTAAGGGCACCCAATGGGTGCATAAACCATGTCATACTCTCTTTATTCTTGGTGTCTAACACTGTGATAAAGCAGAAGGAACCCAGTAACTAGCCCCAGGGCTTACTGGCCGTGCTTAGTACTGTTACCCTGAGCAGCCAGTCTTAGAGACTGATGCCAGCACTGCACTGGCATGGAAGGAGAGTCACTTAAGCAATGAAACAGGATTTCAGTTTCCCTATTAAAAAGTCAGGATTTTAAAAAAGGTCATTAGAAATCACATTGATATAGTTACTTTCATTGACTCAACCAGAGAACATGTTTCTCTGTTTTGAATTAGTGTTGAAGGAGACAATGGGGAAATAAAAATAAAAATAAAAACTGAGCTAAGAAGAATGTATATAAAAATCTGGAAAACTATACATAGTAAGTCCTTAGTTTGGATTTAAGGAAAAAAAGTGTCTTCTGATTCAGGGGTAATGAAAATAAGAGCTCAATCACAGCTTACTCAAATACAGGACCCGATTCTTCTTCCCTTTTAATTTCAATTTCATTTAAGACCAATATGATTTCAAATTACTCTCAGAAAAGAGCCAGGCAAATTTATTAAATTCCATTAGCAATATTAACACACGATAAAACAATCAGGGCACCACCTGGGGAGAAGGATATTCCTTGGAATAAATAACACTGGTCCAACTGATCATAAGCATCTCTTACCAAAAACTCTGGCTACAAATCCTAGTGGAAATTGAGAGGCAAACAATGTGAGAAACCAGGGGGCAGCATAAAGACTGGGGCTGATTTCATTTTCTTCAAGATGATTGTAGAGATCTCTGTGATAGTCATGAAGGAGCCTGGACAGCTGGTACATCTGAATCTAAAGGTAATGTGGAAAAGAAAAATAAAATATTATACACTCATCTGTACATAAAATACACTAACTTTAATTTTATTACTTCAATATTTAATAGGAAATTCACACATTCAATACATGAAAGTAGTAGTATTTTATTTTTATTATGTTAAAGTTGATATTAAAGTCCAAGTTCTCTTAATTGAGGTCATAACGCAAGTCACTGAGAGTCCATCTGAGATGACTCAGCAGGTTTCTATACCACATGTTTTTTAGTATCACATATGTAAGGGGAAATGGTTGTTTTTCCTCCTGAAGGAAGGCACTGCTTTTGGAATTTAAACAGAACTGTCCTGGCTTAGGACTCTCATGGAAGGTCCATTTTAATTTCAGACCAGTTCCAGAAAAGCCTCCATTCTAAAAAATCTACATTTAGTTCAGACGCAAAGCATATCTCTATCTGCTGGGCCCAGCGTCTGATTTAGGATGGAGCTCTGGCTTCAACCCTGCCAGGCAGCCAGTGCTGCCAGGACACTGCCTGGCTTCGAATTTTAGGGAGGAAGAAGCTTGGGGTAGGATTTCCAATGTCCAAAGTATTCCAGCATTGTATTTCTTGTGAAAAGAGGGATTAAAGCAGAAAGTACAGTCTGACTCTCTCTGGTATTAAAGAAGAAATTATTCCATTAGGTTACTGCTGTATTGTTGGTATTTTAAAAAACATTTTAGGGGCGTCTGGGTGGCTTAGTCGGTTAAGCGTCCGACTTTCGCTTAGGTCATGATCTCGCGGTTCGTGGGTTCGAGCCCCGCGTCAGGCTCTGTGCTGACTGCCAGCTCAGAGCCTGGAGCCTGTTTCAGTCTGTGACTCCCCCTCTCTCTCTGACCCTCCCCTGCTCATGCTGTCTCTCTCTCTCTCTCTCCTAGAAATAAATAAAAATATTAAAAAAAAAAAACATTTTAAAGGCAGAGTTATAGCTTTAAACTCATATGTCTATGGTAGCTAAAGGTAAGGCAGTAGCAAATAATCAACAAATTTGTGAACTGTGCTTTAATTTAAAATTTTATCCACACGGTAACATAACTTGATCAGTTATATCTGTTTGACATTTTAGTGTGAAAGTGTATGATATTTTATTAAGTCTAGCACTTCTTTCGCTAGAAGAAATCATCAAAACATTACCCTTAAGTAGTTAGCTTTGTAAAAATGCATTAAAATAACCAATTATATTGTGAACTCAACTGCAGTTTCCAGAGTACAAAACTAAAAATCAAAGTACTATATATAAATACGGCAAATTATTTGTTTGATCTTTATCTATTAAACACGTATCTGTGGAAACTAAGGTTCCACACAAACGAAAAGGAAAGAAAGAGCAACAGGAAGTCATAGCTAGGAAACACAGAGCTTAGCTGCAGTCAAACATAAAGGTTTACAAGAATGCGATTATTATCTCAGTCATGTGGAAAAAATCATAGATTTCCCTTAGGCCATTTATAATTTAGAAACTAGACATCCTGTACTCCATCAATAGAAGAATTAGTATTTTGGCAGCACAAAAATCATAGAAGTCTAATTAGCAGGCTAAAGAGAAAGCATATTGTCAAAAGCATCCTGTTCTTGTTCTGTTAGGATGGTGACACAGAAGCAATACTTCAATGTTATTTTTTTAAGAACATTTTTCTTTTCTGCATTCTAAACTAGGGGATTAGAACATTTCTTCCATCAAGGTATATTTACATTAAATTTCTTCTGACAAAGGCAAATAAAAACAGAATTCAATCTTCCTTCAAAGGAAACTTTAATAACAAAATGCCATCTGCTAAGAATAAGTAATTCTTCAGTTTCTGCTTTACAGCTAACATGGCAAGTCTTCCAATGGAAGATGTGGAGCCGGAGGAGGGAGATGTGGAGAGAGCTGAGAAGGGAAGAGAAGATGGGGAGAGGGGAGAGCAAAGACTTCAGATAAAAGACACAATGTTTTTACACTCCACACAGAAAACTGCAGCCACAGAACATAGAAGACAAAGTTTTACAGATAAGGGGACTCAGGCCAAGAACCTGCAGTGTCCATGCTCACACCGTGCAGGTAACCAGAAATCTTATCAAGTGATCCATGCCCACAGCTGTTTCCACCTCTGAAAGTCACATTGATTGGATACAAAAACACTTCCTGCTCCTGAAGGTGGAGAAGTGTCGTACCTCACTTATAGTAAAGCTAAAAGATCTATTCTCCTAGAATAAGGTCCCAAATCTTGCAGCCTCTACACATGCTGCTGAAGATTAAAACATCTTCACTGTCATCATTATGGACAGAAAATATTTGCTGGCAATTACAAGTCATATAAATGAGCCCGACGCCAAGCCTATTCCCATGACCCTGGAATCATGACCTGAGTGGAAATCAGGTGTCAGAATCTCAACTGGCTGAGCCACCCAAGCACCCCTTGCATCTACTTTTCCATTTAGGGACCTAAATCAAACACTACTCACAGGTACTTTCCATTCTTTAATTTTTTAAATATTAACTATGAAAACCTATTTCTGCAAATCAGAGCTACTTAATTTGTTACAAGGGCACCAATGCTTCCTATCCAATATGAGGTACAGATAAACTTCAGAAGTATAAAATAAAACCTTCCATTGTCATTATTTGACTTGTGGAATGTTAATAGACCTATGAACAGTCATCAATTAGGAATCAAGTGACTATGTTTATGCATCCTGGGAAAGGCCCTTTATATGATCTCATACCTTAAAACCCAATGTTAAGAGGGAAGCCCTATCTCCAGGAAAAATTTCATCTTAAAGGAGTAAAGAAGGGGAGCCTGGGTGGCTCAGTTGGTTAAGCGTCTGAATTCGACTCAGGTCATGATCTCACGGCTTATGGGTTTGAGTTCTGTGTCAGGGCTCAGAGCCTGGACCTTACTTCAGATTCTCTGTCTCCCTCTCTCTGCTCCTCCCATGCCCATGCTCTGTCTCTCTCTCTCCCGAAAATGAATAAGCGTTAAAAAGAATTTTTTTTAAGTAAAGAAAAATGAACTGCTCTCTCTCTCCATTGATCCTCTCAAGAAAATACCATTTACTGTAACATTCACAAGGTGAAAACCCAGTCCTTTTCTGCCTGTAGAATGGTATCTAAAATATTAAATGTAAAAACTGATCCGTGGGAACCAGGGAAAAGAGTACATCTGAAAATCATTTTTTAAATATTTCACTTCTTATCTACACCATGATATTATGACTAACAGGATCTTGCCTACCTCATTTCAAAAGAGGAAAAGTCTGACATTCCTCTCTTTAAAGTCTTCTTTCATATTTTTACTACGAAAAGCTTTAAATTGAAAGGTAGTGGTGGCTGGTAATATCATAGCTACAGATAAAATTTAAACTGCTTGCTAGGATCCAATACACTAAGGAAAGGGGAATTTTAACTAGAAAGGAGAAATGTGTAGACAGGGAGTCTGAGATAGGTTGAAGACCGCAGTGGGAGCGAGCACCCCACTTAAAATGACTAAAACATTTTAGAATTGCTTCTCCAGTGCCTGCTAAGAAAAGTAGACTGAAAATTACCACTGACTTTGGACACGTTTTACTGTAGAAAGACCTATCTGACATAAGGATAAAGGAGGGAAGCCATGGTAAGTTCAAGAAGAACCATGACACAGATTACGTGTCGCTGATGCACTCACAGTAAGAGAATAAGGACATTATATTTTTAGATTAAAAAAAAAGATCTATTTCTATAAAACTGACAGGCTGAGGAAAAGTGAACATAGAAGACTTGGTTCTTTCTCTATTTCCACCTTCAGACCTAGGGGGAGATACTTGAGTACCCACTACCTTTCTAGAATTGCTCATTTATTCACTTCAGGAACTTTGTGCAGAAAAGAGTTTTTCTGCATATGGATGCCATACTCTTACAGGTTTAACAAAAGCACAAATCCCACACACTAAAATGGTGAACTCAAAAGATACCTGTACATTTATACAAATTCCAAGATAATGGGTCCAAATTTCTTTCAATCTTTTTAAAAATATTTTTAAAGTTCATTTATTTTTGAGAAAGAGAGAGAGAGAGAAAATGAGGGAGGGGCAGAGAGAGAGGGAGATACAGAATCCAAAGATGGCTCCAGGCTCTGATCTGTCAGCACAGAGCCCAACCTGAGGCTCAAACCCACGAATCGCAAGATCATGACCTGAGCTGAAGTCGGGCACTTAACAGACTGAACCACCCAGGCGCCCCCAAATTTCTTTACATCTTAAGTGTAATGCAGAAGAGGGCTCATGCTATGATTCTAATAACAACGTCCCATGTGCCTCACCTGCAGCGACATCATGTCCGGCCTGTACTGCTTGCGGAAGCCCTGGTCATACATGAGGAATTTCAGCATCTCAAAGGCTTGTTCTTCACTCATGTGCAGAAGCAGGACTCCAGCCACAAAGCTGATCCCCTGACAGTAACCCACTTCTTTGTCCAGCAATGAGTAGGCTTTCAAGAGGTTAAAGAGTGAGAGCTGCCCTGCCCCAAGCTGTGCTGAAAAATAAGGGTGAGTAGGAAATGTCCTTCCTGCAGAGGGAGAGAAAAGAAATATTTTTGAGACATCCTGAGCTTTGGAGATAAAAGTGAAATTGCAATGGAGTGATTTCCAGGAAATAAGTGTTCTTTTCTGAACCAGTGAGAGCTATGTGGAATACCCATCTAACTAAAACTCTCTCCAGCAAGTCCTAAGTCCTACCTGCCAGACCACCACCCCATCTCTATGCATACAAAAGGGAAGCAAACATTTGATGCTAAACAGCACGTCTTTCTAGAAAACAGCAACAACAAAATTCACAAACAAATCACGGACATGTCCAGGAGAGATCCCAGGAAACAGAATATAAAATCTATTCGGGCTATAAATCAAGGCAAATTCCAAGTTCACATAAAAACACCCCTCTGACTAAAATCAGAATTCTAGGAAAGTTGTCATATTATTTAAAAGGAGATCTTAGTAGTCCCTATACAGAATTAGTCCTGCTTTTCCTGTAATACGACACAGGAGGGGCTTTTTAAGGTCATTTTGTTTTACGTTCAATCTATCGTTCAGGAAATACTTCTTTTTTTCAAACATCCTTTGCTCTCTCTTTCTTAAACCACCTCCAAGAGCCATGCAGACCTCTTTTCTTTTTTCAAAATATCCAAAAAGGGCATGTAAAGCAAAAGGTCAAGCTGATTTCAAGTAAATTCCCCTCCAACATTCACTTCTGAGGATAAAATTACCATAGAGACACCCTGCAAGCAGACAAAATCAGTTCTGGATCACTGAAAAGCTGGTACTAAACACTGAAACGCACCATCTTCATCCACCAAGGCTGTGGACACTGGCATGGGACTTCTCTTAGGCCACAAAAATGAAGGGGAGATCAGTATCCTTGCAAAATGACTACTTATAATTTGTAAGAATGCCAGATTTTTTAATGTTTTCCATTATATATGCTTCAGAGTGTTCTTGTTTCCCCCCTCCCCCCAGGAACTGATAAGATTAACTCTGCAGAGCAAGGGCAAGATATGAGAAAATAACAAGAACACACTGAGGAAACACAGAAGGCTACAAGTAGAGATAAATAAACAATTTTTAAAATATCATTTTACTTTACTTAAAATTTTTGTATTATATTTTGAAAACTATAAATGTACTATCTATCCAAGACATTAATTCTAGCTTCATTTGTTTTCTGAACAGCCTTCCCTTATAATCTAATCTCATCATCTCCTTTTCTTTATTAGGACATCTTCATTAGCCCTAAACAAACCATCCGCATTTCTAGTCTGGTCATCAATTCTAGTCACACAACCACAGATCTGTGGGGATCCACAGGGATTGCCAAGTTCAAGGTCCTTATTATTTAAATGAGAGGACTGAGACTCAGAAGCAAAATAATTTGCCTAAAACCACAGTTCAGTGGTAGAATCAGACAAGAACTCAAGTCTTTGGCTTCTCTGTAAAATTCCCCTCTTCAAAAAATATTAACTGAGTTGGGTCCTTTCCCAACAAAAGCTGTTTATCATCCAGAAGAAACAGAGATCAAAACTAGGTTTTGGCCAGTGATTTTAATATGCCCTAATATAAGGGGGCCCCCAAATATACAGTAATCCCTTATTTTCTCATATGGGCTCAAGTAACATATCTAGCCACTTTAAATATACCAATTTTTAGGGATACAGATAAAATGGTCAAATGACAATGTACAATATTTAATTCAGATATTTTTAAATTATAAAATATATATTATAATATGTTAAACTAGAGACAATGTAATTTTAAAAATCAATCTTTTTTACTTTACATTACTTATTTGAAATATAGCATTTAAAAAGATAGCTATATGATGCTATCACTGGAAATTCTTCCTAGTCACAAGAAGCCACTCTTATAATATTAGGGCAGCTCATTTTTCTTTCATCCTATAGGGGTGTATTCATGATTCTGCAGTACACCACTTATTGTACTGCTTTTTAAAGTGATATTCAAAGGCTGGTTTAAATTTTAATCTTTTCTATCCTATTTTAAAACCAGTGTTGATTGAGAAAATAAACGTCTAACCCAAACAAAAGTCAGTTTTTCAAAATACAGGAATTGAAAGTACCTGATAATATAATCTTTATAAGGATTCAAATATAAGATAATACCCCTTTTCAGGGGCAAGTCTGGGGATGAATACTTCATTTTGTATTCAGGCATTTATGGTATTTTCAACCAGATATAAAGTCAGCTTGCCCTCAAGAAAGGGGAAAGTCAGCAGCTCTGTAGAATTCAACAGATCCTCTTTAGTAACACCAAAAACAAAACAAAACACAAAGTACAACAAAACCCCAAGCAAAAGCCCCCAAAATACTCAACAAAGTGACCTATCGATTGCTTTTGTACAATCATCAGTAGGACAAACATACCCAAATCCACAAGAATGGCATGTTGCTGAGCGGTGAGCTGCTTTAAAAGTTCCTTATAGGAAATGTCAGGAGGCTGTTGTTTATTGGGCAATCTGTGCCTGAGACGGTACTGCAAAGCTAGGAACTGCCAAATTTCTCCTCGGCGACTTTTGGGAACACCTACAAAGATAAAAAGGCAAGGAATGAAGTTGCTAAACACAGCTGATGAACTATGTAATGCTTGAAAACAGGGAGCTGTAACGTCCTGCGTGCCCCCCTCCAATCACACAGTGCACTGTACTGACAGAAGCATTTTTTTAAAATTTCCTTTTATAGTTTTTTTATTTTTGAGACTGAGAGAGACGGAACATGAGTGGGAGAGGGGCAGAGAGAGAGAGGGAGACACAGAATCTGAAGCAGGTTCCAGGCTCTGAGCTAACTGTCAGCACAGAGCCCCATGTGGGGCTCAAACCCACGAACAGTGAGATCATGACCTGAGCTGAAGTCGGATGCTCAACCGACTAAGCCACCCAGGTGCCCCAACAGAATCATATTTTCACAAGTTTAATCCTGAAGCTGCTGAGGTCTTATGAAAGAAATCCTCAAATATCAATAATAAAGGCAATGCTGGGGCGCCTGGGTGGCTGAGGCAGTGAAGCCGTTAAGCAGCTCAGGTCATGATCTCACAGTTCCTGGGTTCGGGCTCCACATCGGGCTCTGCACTGGCAGTCCAGACCCTGGAGCTTGCTTCCGCTTCTGTGTCCCTCTCTCTCTGCCCCTCCCAGGATCATGCTCTATCTCTCTTTGTCTTTCAGAAATAAATTAAAAAATAATAAAGAAAGCAATGTTAACATCGGCCAACACTGGCTGGGCACCTAATACATCATTCCATGGATGGTGCCTCGCCACTCAGCATTGTACCTGTGCTCAGAAACCAACCAAATGAGGCAGGCAATTACTATTATCCCCACTTTCCAGATGGTGAAGCTGAGGCAGCAAGAAGCAAAGAACTTGCCCAAGTTCACTCAGCCTGTAAGTGGAAGTTTAGGATTAGAACTCCCCAAGTCTGGTTTCAGAGGCCAAATTCTGAAACCATGAAATGTATCACTGCCTATTCCCACCTTTTATTTGGTCTGAAGCTAACAATAAATGCCAATACTTAAAAATTCAAAGCATTTGACATCAATAAGTAACTTTGTAAAAGAGAATTATACAGCATTCTTATACGGTCATACAAGAATGAAATTAAAAAAAAGTGGTCAATACAACAGGGAGACATAATTGGAGTGCTCCAGGATATCATTAGAGAAGACAATATCCAGCACATATAATGAAACATTAACTCCATTATGCTTGAGAACCAAAAGGTATCACAAGCAATTCAAACTATACTAAAACTTTGCTTTTAATGCCAAAGAATATGAAGTAATAAGCACTAGGAAGGACAGAATTCACTTCTGTAAAGTACAGATAATCTTATTTCACAAAGTATTTTCAGTGCAGGTAAACTGGATTGAGAATAGGTTTCTGAGCTCCCAGCTAATTAAGGAAGGTTTAACAGCACTACTCTTTTTGAACTTCATTACCATCATTTGCATAAACCAAAAGTATGATTTCCAAAAAGTATAACTCCGGTCACTGACATGACTTATAAGGCCTTCCACGACGTACCTCTAAACTGCCTTCTTCAATCCCACTACCTGCCATTCTGCACCACAGACTAAGTAAAAGAAGCTTATGTTTATTTTCACACTTCCAGTTTCTTATTCCTATTCCAAGTTCCCCTACTTTACTGTGCAGCATATTTCTAATCATCTGTTATGGGTGAGCCTGAATGCCATTCTTCTGCTAAAGTTCTTCCTCATATCTCCAGGAGTGATCACTCCCTTTTCACATACTGACACAAACTCGAAAATCGCCATATTGGATTAGCTCTGCTCTACTGCCTGTGTGCCTATTTTCCCCACTTCCATGGGAAGCTCCTTGAGAATAGTGAGCTAATTTCCATCTCTCTATGAGGAAAACCAAGAATATACTCTGCTACTTAAACATCTGTAGGATGAATGAATGGATGATCACACGTAAAATGTCATTTTGGGGGTAACTTTCATTAGCCCATTAAATGAATCTCTGATAACATGAGTGGACTGTTGTATTATGCATCCAATAACAAATTTGCAAGAAGACAATTCACTTTAGCTAAACAAGTCATTTGTTGAACATCTAACACACAGCAAAGTATAGAGAATGGCACTGAGGATGCTTTATCTCTGGGAGATGAATAAAACCATTCTCAGGAATTAGTCTCATTCATTCATTCATCCATGTATTCTTTCAGTAAATAACTTGTGCAAGATCTATCTTAGGTGCTAGGTATGCAGAGGCGAGGCGAGAAAAACATTACACAAATATATGCCTAAATACAAAATTACAAATTATGATAAGCACAATTAAGGAAAAGAATCATGAGAAAAAATAATGAAGTGAAATGAATTTGTTTTGATGGAAGAGAGGCAAGGGTGTACTATTTTCTGAGGAAATGGTGTTTGAACTGAGAACAAAAAGATAATAGGATTCTCCAGGCTGGGAGTGTGGGCAGCAATCCCTTCAGGAAAGAGAATGTCTGAACGCCCTCAGATGGGCAAGGAATGGGGTGAGAAAGGAAGAGAAGGAGGAGGGGTGGAAAGAAAGGAATGATGGGAAATGAGCAGCAAGTGGAGAGGTAAGAAAGAGAGGTTAGGGAGAACTAGAACATTCCATGCAAGAAACAGCCTGGGACATATACTGGGACACAGAGTAGTTCAGCCTCTCTGGAACACATGATACAAGGGAGAGGAAGCAGAACATAAGATCAGAGATGAAGGAGGAAGAGCTTATGGTGGGCCCTAGGCAGAGTGCTCAGAAGTTCAAACAGTGTCCTATAAGAAATGGGAAGGTGAGCACCCCTAAAAGTCTTTAAAAGTCATACCAAAGAATGGTGTGATTGACATCACACATATTCTATTACCCACTATTCTGTCTCCAAAATAATGCAATCAGTGAAAATCTTTAGGACTTCCATACCTTCCTTTTTTCAAGGAAAAAAACTCAGTAAATGTAGCATCTTACAAAACTAATCCCAACTTCATTTAAACTGAACGATGTAACAGTTTCACACATTAATCATAAGCTTTTAAAACAAGATTCATTATCAGATATCCTCATTTTAATAACTGGGTCACAGAAATGCACCTCAAATATTTACATGCTAAGCAGTTTGAATTTTAAATTTATGATGTTTAAATATAGGTCATTTTATATGACAGAGTAGCAATGGAGTATAATGGCTACATAAAAGCATTTTTTCCAAAATAAAAAATATATATGGAAGTAAAACTGATTAATAAAAACATAAATCTGTTTATATACATATATACATGTAGGTGAATACACCTATACAAATAAATATAAACATTTCTGACTAAATGATGGAAATGAGTCAAATTTGTAAGTCTCAATTAATTTTTATGGATATGATCCAAGGTCTGCACCCACGCATTCGCTCCTTTGCTGGTAAACAACAAAACCGGAGCTGAGAACAGCTGGTTGAAGAAGACAGGAAAATCTATAGAAAAGGTGTCCGCTAGTTCCTCAGGGACCATCTCTCCATTAGCACTGTCTTTTTCCCAACTGAGTCACTGACTGCAGTCCAAAGCAAATTACTTCCCTTTCTTTTATAGGCAAAGCACAAGGACAAAATTATGCCTGAGCTACACAATCAAAACAATCTCTAAAGATTTTCTCTAAAAAAAGATGATTAACGAAGGTCCACCTGAAACTAATGTAACATTGTGTCAATATTACTCAAATGAAAAAGGCGAACCACAATACCTTCTTTAAGAGAAATATGAATATCTTCCATATCGCATCTGATTTTAGCTCTGCAGTTCAACAACTTCTTATCCCAGGTTAGTAAGACCTCCTTCTGACATACACCAACTTCTTCATAGTCCAGTTTAACTTTTCTGGACTGGAGTTCATCTCTGCTTGCTAGGAGACACAAAAGAATTTATGTAAAACTGATGTGTTCTTAGAACACAATATTTTTAACATTTTACTGTATTTGTAAAATCATACCAAATGATTTTTATAACATCAGGTCATAAAGTAAAATTTCAAAAACTGAGGATACGTGAACAGCTCCCAAACTTGGAGTCATTTCATGTAAACAAATATCAGGAATAACTTTCTAAGGAGGTTTTACTCTGCATCTCATAGATGGGAGCTCTGCTAAGCATAAAAAAACTAACCATGTTCCCTATGCTGTAAGTTTCCATTTTTTTGAAAATTTGATAGCCTCAGGAGTGACAACCTGCATCATTTTCAACACTAATGATTATAGAGGACATATATGAAAACAATGGCTCATCCAAACCTTGATAAGAGAAATTTTGACCATGATAACCCAATACATTTTTATAATTATTTCCAGAGTTACCAACACTTCTTTTGGCACATTAAGTCATGCGCCTCTGTGTTCATTTCTTCTTAAAGAAAAAAATTCATTTTACTGAAATTAACACTACTTCTATTTTTAAAAATAGTACAGAATTCTCTCATTCGATGGTCTAAAATATAAGCCCAGAGTTCATTAAAGAAAGGCCTATAAAAGCAATTACTAACTTGGTTTGTTCTTTACCTTAAATAATTGATTCCAAAAAAGAAAAGGAAGAAAAAAACATTTAGCTATTTTTTTCTTTCGTTAGGATCACGTTGAACGGGAGTCTCACAAATTATTGTGTATTCATTCAAGCTCACACTGCTCAACCCCTTACCTTCTGCAACACAAATCTTTGTCATGCATCCGAAGTCCTCGACAGCACAAAAACAATAGCAGAATGAGTATTACCTTTACTTAGTGTGTTTGAAACCATTTCACGGAATTTAAATATCTTATAATATGGTTATTCAAATAAGGAGTAAAAGTTTCTACTGAAAGTCCAGACATAACCAAACTGTTTCACTATGAAAACACTCCCCCTGGGTACCACTAGATGGCTTTCTAGCAGTTTAGCTTTGCTTCTCAATCCTTGCTTTGTACTTCTCTATGATAATCAAATATTTTTTTAAAAGAAGTGGGTTCGTTAAAGCTAATAATTAACATAACCCTATATGTAACTTTATTGCTTTTTTTATAATGAACATAGCGTATTTCCTTTTTTCCCCCTGCAACCTTCTCTAAATCTTTATTCATTTAACAGAATAAGCAAAAGCTATGTGCCAGCTGCAGACCCTGAGGATAAAATGCTGATTAAGAACAGTCAACATCTGCCCTCACCTGGTTAACAAGGCAAAAAACAAAGAACCATCAGTAAATGATCAACAATTGACTAGAATTTTAATACACTCAACTATTTTTTGTCTCTGTTTTTTAAATACAGAAATAAAGAACTCCTAAAGGTTTCTGACCATATCTGCTAAACATCACCTCCTCTCTTATCCTGAATATGACTTCAATTTCCCTCAAAACCTATAAAAGCTCGGTTAGGCATACCATTTATCACATCAAATTTTTTTTTTTAATTTTTTAATGCTTTTTATTTATTTCTAGGAGAGAGAGAGACAGCGTGAGCAGGGGAGGGTCAGAGAGAGAGGGAGTCACAGACTGAAACAGGCTCCAGGCTCTGAGCTGGCAGTCAGCAAAGAGCCCAACGCGGGGCTCAAACCCATGAACCGCGAGATCATGACCTGAGCGAAAGTCGGACGCTCAACCGACTAAGCCACCCGGGCGCCCCAATCACATCAAATTTTTAAAAGCTGTATCAATAACAATCGATTGGGTTTTTAATTTTAAAGAAAAAAAAAGATTTACTTCCCAGAGATACTTAAAACTTTACGTACTTCCATTCTGCCAGGAAAACAGCAATAAAGAAAACTATTCCCTTGTAAACTAAGTATTGTTCAATTTAAAAACAGAATTGAATATTAGTGTAGTAAAAGGAATCTGAAGATAGGCGATAAGCACAGAAATATGAATGCTTGTTCTTAAAAACGCATTTTAGAAGACAACACATTAAAAGCAAGCCAGAGAAAAACCTAAATTGTACATTTTCCTATAATCTTGTAAGTCAAAGGGCCCACTTGAGCTAAATCTTTCATTTTACACATGTGAAAAACAAGGCCCTTTTAGGTGAAGTGAACTGCCAAATATAATAACATTAATACATTTTTTGAGTTTTGGTCCTGTCTGCACATCTGCTCATGTGTGGTTCACAAAGAGGTAAAGAACATCAGTCTTTCAAAGTCTGGAAAACACGTTCTAAAACATTTGGTATTCATAAACTAAGCAATAAAGCACCAGTAATAGCACAGAAGCTGTTGTAAATTATCCAATTATAAATTTTATGATTTTTTAAGTAGAAAGTATATAAAGCAATAACAAAATTAGGAACTTTGATTTGTTAACAGGTAATGAGATAGTTGAACTGGGCACAATACAAACAGACTTTATTTTAAATAGGCACGTTTGTCTTATTTTAAATGCAATTAGCTTAAAAGGTGAAAATCAACTTCAAAAAGAAGAGAATGTATTTTTTCATGTTTAAGAGTTTTTTTTAAAGTAATACACAATAATATTAAATTTGTAGTCACATCAAATACATGGACGCCGCACTATCTACATTTTCTGTTACCCAAATACACTGTAAGGGCATCTGATGTCTTAGTTATTAAATAGAAATGCAAATATTTGAAGCTGAACATTCCCATGTCACAGCAACCAAAATAAAATGAAACAACTATAATCAGTAAAATCCTAGTCAAACTGCATTTACACTCCGAGACTGAGTGTCGGGAAGACGGGGCTGATTTTAATCTAAACCTTTCTATTATACTATGATCATTTAGCTCTGTTTGAATGGCTAACCTTCAAGTTTCTGGTTTTCTTTCTCCATTCGAAGCAACAAGATTTGTTGATGTATTGCTTTTCTCCACAAACTCCTCAGTTCCTCTGACTTCTTTCTTTCTTCAGCCTTCTCTGGGTCTTCATCGTCACCAGACATGAATATAACCAGCGGTTCCTCCTCCATAGTTGGAGTAAGAGGAGACAGCGGCAGCAGTTCGCTCCTGTCCAGTCCATCTGCAGAGAAGAAAACAGTGAGAGGCATTCCTCAGTAGTAGCCCAGACTACGGAAGCTTTCTCTAGAATTGATGTTCTCTCATCCTATCTTCCACCTTTAAAGCTTTTCACAAAGCCACTTTCCCAGTAACTGCATTTCTGGAACTAACGGCTTAAGTAAATTCACTAGGCTAAATTCCCCTGCCAGATTTCCCTCTCACGTTGAAACGAAAGCGCATGTAATTTCTCCACTTCTTCTTTCTGCACAAAATGACCTATAAGATAGGTGCTCTAAGATGAACTGGCATTCCCCAGAGCCCAACACTTCTGCAATTTATCTTTGTACGTTCTCTGATTGTGCAAAACAAAAACATTACATGAGCAGGTAATAGCGATGTCCTAAGGTCTCCATCTACCATCAGACACAGTCAAGAGAAGAGCAGCTGGGCAACATGGGGCATGTGTTGGCTCAGCACCTCTGCTCGCTCCTGCAACATTCTCTTGCCCAATTCCTGGAGCTCACTCTCTCCCTCTGTTCCAGACCATCTTTTGCACCTTTGCCAATTAGTTTCCTATTAACAAACATGACTGTGTTTCTTAAAATATTTCAATGGTTGCTTATGTCCCAAAGTCCAAACTACTGTGAAGAGCATACAGACAGCTTCAGAGTCCTGCCTCATGTAAACTTCCCAGTCTGTTTCCATCTCCCATCCTCTGCTCCCATCATGCTGAATTTCTCACCATTCCCTGTCCTGCAAAGCTCCCTCCGATGATGTCAGAGTTTGCTAGCCTCACTTTCTGAAACATGCTTCTCCCAGCAATGAGTTTAAATGTAAATATCCAACATTCCTGTGAAGCCTTTTCTGGCCACCCTAGGCAGAGTTCATTTTTACTTTAGTAATGTCAGTTTCTTGTTTCCTTTTCTTTACTAACTGACCTCTGCCCTTATCCTTATTACTTATTTCCTTAATAAATAGTTTTGAAAAATTTTACTCAAGAGCTCCTTTTCTAACTTGTTTAAATACTCAGGTATATTTGAGCTTTGTCTTTCCTGATTTTAAAAATGCCCTTTAAATATCACTCAATGTTGATGTGTAGGGCTCTGAACATATTTTCTTCCTTCTAGTTTCTAGTAGTTTTCAGTTTCCAAACACATGAAATATTTTAGTTATCTTCTAATTCTTGATTCCTTTTTTTTTTTTGTACTGTAATCAGAGAACATGTGATTGTTTCATTAATATAATGCCTTTGTGGCCAAGTACATAATTAATTTTTAGGAATGTTAAATGTGTACTAAGAATGAATGAACCTTCCCTTTAGGGGGACAAGGTTCTGTATAGATATTAGATCAAGCTTGTTAAATTGTGTTTCTCAAATATTATCTTTATATAACCTCCCTATATTTAACTTTTAGAGAAGAATTTTATTAAAATCTCCCAGGACAGCTATTGACTTATTTCTCCCCAACATTCTGTGAACCTCTATATTCTAGCTTTCAAGGCCATATAATTATGCATGTTTGTATAATTAATCATCATTGTTGTATCTTTGTTTATTTTTATAATTTACTTTGCCCCTTTGGATGTCTTTGCTTTAATTTCTAAAATAGGTCTAATATCTTTCGGTTGATATTTGCCTACTATATCTGTATTCATTTATTCATCATTCAACATTTCAGTGTCACTTTGTTTTATCAGTGACTCTTGTTAAAGAATAGGTTACTTTTCTTACAATAAAAAAAAAATCTATGCTTTTCTAGCACTATCCTAGTACCAGTTTGAGAGTTTACTCATTCACTCATTCGTTCACCAAGTGTTTACTGAATGTCTACTATATTCTAATGATAACTGAGAAGTTAGCCACCATATAAGATATGGAAACAGAAGTTATTTCTCCACTGAAATCACTCAAATCTCTTTGTGCCCGAAGCACTGCATTCCATTCCCTAGTTTATGATACTGGCTAAAAGTAATTCTTTAGTGTGCATCATACAGACCATGCTGCATTGCTGAGGGAGATTTGTTCATGGGAGAGGCAACCCTGAGGAAAATGCGCTGCCGCCAGGAGATTCGACGAGGGGTGGCCGGGGTTCCTCCAGCGTTTAGGGACTCATTGCTGCACGTAGATGAGGTCCTTTTTCTCCCCTCTCCATCACTGCAGAAAGCAAATAAATATGTAACTTGTAAAGAGAAAGGCATAACATGGTTCTTCACAAACACACGGTAGCACAAGCCATTCACAAGTTCTGCCATGGGCAAGCACAAGCCTCAGGCAACAAAGAGCAATGCGTCTCTAGGCACACTGGTCACCCAGGCCACTGCAGCCTGGGAAAAAAGCAATCCAAGCCACAGCCCAGGCATGAGAAGCTCACCTGTTTCTACTCATTCCGTACTAGTCAACCATTTCAAGTCCTAGCCCGAGGAAAAGATGTACGTATACAGACACACAGAGGTTGCTTAAGTAATGAATTCATGCTTTGCTAAATAATTAAAACGCGTATTCTAAACAATGTGAATATTCCATAAGAGGTTCAAAAACAGCTTTCCTTATACTCTTACAGAATAGGCTGATAAAGATAGCTTCTCATTGCCTGTGACTGTTGAGATCTGTCTACAAGTTGTCAGCCATCAATATCTGGATCATGGCAGAAAGTAACCCGAATAAAGACGGAATGGTTAACCTTGGGATTATTATTAGGTGATATGTTAAGAAAAGAACTCTATAAGATTGGCTAGGTTAAGACAAAAATATTCAGCATTTCTTTACAGGAGGATTTCACAGAGACTCTAATATACTGGTATGCATGAAGTAATGCGTTGATATGCCCTAACTTTTTTCAATCATTTGACCCCATAATCACCTTCCCCAATTTTTTTGGGGGGAGGGGATTTGAGCATGTGGCAATTTTCTACATTAGTGCTTTGTGAAACAAACATGTGGAAATGTGGGTCTGCTCTAAAAATTTCATTTCCTAGGAAAGGACATTCAAAGTTAATCTAGGCCCATCTACAATAAAAGGTCATTATGACTCAAACTCACTTCTGAGACCAATCATGTTAGCAGCTGGAACGCCATGCAATGATTGCTACTGCTAGTGGTGGTAACAGTACATTTCAAAGTCTCTGGGCTTTCCTGAGAAAATGATGAAGAAAATAGTATTTACAGCTGGTGATACCAACAAGTGAAGATACAGGACTTTTGATGGAGTCCAAAAAGTCCGTACTCAAGTCAGAAAGGAAATGTAGCTAGAAAATATGCAATCTGCCTCAGTGGTACTGAGGCCACCAAGAGGAGAGCAATTCAGCACCTGTCTGTCATATTTTTATTTACTTTATGTACCTACCCATGGTCATTAGGTAATTCAGTTATCTCTAATCTTGATCTATCTTCCTGTAATGATTACTTCTGGATTAGCTCAAAAAGGTTAATAAGAAAAAGACAAAGCTTCAAGCTGCTGCAGTTAGCAGTGTCATGAGAGATTAGGATACTTTAGAAAGCAACGATACATATATCTCAATACAGTCAACCCCCTTTGTTATATACCCTGGATAAAAGTATAACCCTAATATGTATCCATGGTTCAAAGCTCTCTGTAATATTGAATAAATACGTTCACCTTTACTTTCACTTTGGAAAGTATTAACTCAAGTATTTCCCTTTTAGAAAGTGTGATTCAAATGTTCTGTAAATAATAGTTTACAGATAATTAGTTTATCCTGATAAATATTCTTGAAGTACTCTGTATCTTTACTTTGGTAACACTAACTTACTAGCAGTTATTTGCTAAATGCCCAGCTAATGGATGTATTTCTGGCTTCTGGTATAATAACTGGCAAATAATGTGAAACATTAACTCAGAGTGTTAACTAAAATGGACAAAAAAATCACATGGGCTAGGCTAACATGTCAGGAATCGATAACAGAATACCTTTTTAAAACCCATGTTGGTAGCATGACTTTTACGTCTTTTCTGGCAAAAAGTTCTAACAGCTCTGTTTCCCAAAAGTACAGACTGAGCTGTTGATGGCACTGGTAGGTACTGACAAATACAGCAGCATTAATAAACTTAAGGCATCTTTTTTTTCCAAGTAAGTGCTGTTCCTGTCCTGCACAAGGGCATCTACATTTATAATTTAAGCCTAGAACACTAAGTGAAAGATGTCTGTAAAAGTATCTATTTCAATGCCTCATGGGATGTGTTCAATAATTCCTCTTGACTTTTTAGTGGCTCTGACAAACAAAACTACAGTGAACTAAACCAAAAGATTCTGAAACTTTTATATTTTAATGCTGGAATTACCAACTTCAAAAAATCAGATTTGGGGTACCTGGGTGGTTCAATCAGTTAGGCATTTGACTTGGCCTTCCGTCATGAACTCGTGGTCTGTGGGTTCGAGCCCCATGTTGGGCTCTGTGCTGACAGTCCGGAGTCTGGTTCAGATTCTCTCTCTCTTTCTCCACCCCTCCCCTGGTTGTGGTCTTACTCTGTCCCTCTCTCTCAAAACTAAACAAACATTTAAAAAAAAATTTAAATCAAATTCCAATTCACTGTCAATGACATATGGAATGTCTAGATAGTACTAAAAATAAAACTGAAGGTACTCCTATCAATTTCATTATTGTCTCTAAAATATGTGCTTTTTGGGGATTAGGTTAGAAAACAGGTCCATGAAGCACCCTCACATTAGCCTGCTACATATTTGAAAGCCTCATAACATATAAATTTTATATCCTATAATCTAAATAAATTACCAAATGATACATTTTCTTCCTATGTCTGGAATTGAATGGTCAGAATCGATAAGCCAAAAATCAGCAGTCAAAATATAAGATAATAATATACTGAAAAGCACTTAAATAACAGACCTTTGACCCCTTTAGTTGGGTATTAAAAAAGGACAAACTAAAAAGCAGGTTGGTGGCTGAGGTAAGAAAAAGGCTGTCCTGCTTCATTTAATTTGAGAAGCCATGCATCCAGAAGCCTGAGTCCAGATAAGGGTTCCAGCAGTCAGTGCATACATGCAACTTCACACAGCTCGCCTTCTGATTTACCGTTCATCAGCAATCTGACATCCCTATGGTGGTAACTGCACTGTCCTAATAATTAGCATTTTACAAGTAGGAATTCATTTTATCCTCACGGCAACCTTATGAGGTAGATGCTATTTCTATTTCCACTTTTACTGAGAAAACTGGGGTTGAAGTCCAAGTAACTTGCCCACAGTTCCACGGATAATAAATGAAGGAGCCGAAGTTCAAACCCAGGTGGTCCAGGACCCAGACAAAGGCACTACACTTTGTCATGCCAATGTAAATCCTCTCTGCATTAGTTCAGACAAAGCATTACTGGACCGTAAAACTAAAGCCATCAGGACATCCAATGCCATGTGTATTTCTGGTGAAAAAAAAAAAAAATCAGTCTCTTAAACTAGCCTGAAGTCTTATGGCCGGTATTCCTCTTTTCATTTTTTAATGGCAAAAAGTCATTTATTTCAGCAAAGAAATAACTTAAGAGTAGTAAGTGTTCATGTATGTAAATGTCTCACTTCTTTGCTTTTGAAATAACTCCATTCCAAAATGTAAATCATTTTTTATTTTTTTAAATTTTTGTTTGTTCTAATTTCTGAGACAGAGAGAGACAGCATGAGCAGAGGAGGGTCAGAGAGAGAGGGAGACAAAGAATCTGAAGCAGGCTCCAGGCTCTGAGCTGGCATCAGCACAGAGCCTGACACAGGGCCCAAATCCACGAACCGTGAGATCATGACCTGAGCCGAAGTCGGATGCTTAACTGACTGAGCCACCCAGGCGCCCCAAAAATGCAAACAGTTTTTTAAATGGAAGGATCAAAAAACACACATTAGTATGGTGGACTATACATATATTGCTCTATTAATTACCTTTACATCTTTTTAAATGATAAAAAAAATTAGAACCATTTTCTTATTTTTCCATACAGTCTTTTCCCTCCTTCTTTCTCATTTTGGAACATTAACATGTGTATTATCAAACTGCTTCTAAAGTGACATATTCAGGAAAAGTATTTTGTGCCAGACTTAGCTCTATTGAAAATTTATGAAATTAAGAATGAATAACTAGGAAGGAAATACAATGTGGAGAATTCCCAACTATTTTTCTATTGGTATATTCTATATGTATTTCCTATTACAAATCACCAATTAATTAAGAACCACAATCTGAAAGGCACAAATGAGAGCTTTATAAGGAGAAGAAATATTCTATCATCTTCTGTAGGCTGGGAGGCACTTTCGAGTCCTTCTGGACACAGCATCAAATCCAATGAATATGATACGAATGTTCCCACAGAGCTTCAGATAACTTTTTAATACATCTTTGGCCAAGCAGTTAGAACTTTCACCACATTGACTATTAAATTAACATTATACTTCTTGTGTTAACAGAATTTTTACTGTATACTTGTCTGCTTTAACAGCAGTTAATTCGCTGGATATTAGGTGTTTTAGTGACCACTCATAGGGACTCAACATTAAGGTTGCAGTCATGTTTTATTCTCTCCCTCCCAGGCAGCATAGATACATTGTTCACAAAGCTAATATGTGGAATTTAAGAAACAAAATAAGTGAACATATGGGAGGGGCTGGGGGGAGGAGAGAGAGGGAAACAAATCACAGGAGACTCTTCACTATAGAGAACAGACTGAGGGTTGATGGAGGAGGTAGATGGGTGATGAGCATTAAGGAGGGCACTTGTGATGAGCACTGGGTGTTGTATGTAAATGCTGAATCACTGAATTCTACTCCTGAAACCAATATTGCCCTATATGTTAACAAAATAAAATTAAAGACAAAATTTTTTTAAAAACCCAAAAAGGTGTTTTTCTGCTGAGCAGCAAACTGTCCCCTATCCTCCAGCCCCTGAGCACCCATCTAAAATGACTGGCATCATAAAGGCCAAGTAAATGACTAATACTGATTAAAGCTATATCTGAATCATAATGTTTTATAGAAATAAGACTTGATTAATGTGATAGCACCTATTTGACAGAAATCTGAAAAAGTGTTCTCTTTGTAAATGCCTCAGGAAAAGACTCACGGAACAATACAGTGAGGAAACGAGCTTTTCCACAGGATCCACTATATAATTTATACATAATTGCATCAGGTACACTAATAGCT